AGAGATTTTGGTATACGTTTCAAGGAACTAACTTAAATGTGGAGGAAATCTATATTACATATACCTAATGTAAGATAGTGATTATAGTAAGTCTAATATATTGAAAAATACAACATAGTTGCCTGTTAATAAAAGAATCCCAGCAATTCCAGATGTTGTATCATTCATTTTGATAACTTAAGCTACTTTCTACTATGTTTCTTTTTATAATACAAAAGGTGTTCCAAGATTTATTTATTTAGAATTAGTACTTAAGTCCAAATCATAATAGTTATAAATATAGAATTTCTGAATATTAATTTATAAAATTGGCTCTACAATAGATTCCAAAAATTAAATATTAATTTCATATTTAGGATTACTTAGCTAAGTAGTGATATTGATTTATGGAACTAATTTTAATTTAAATTTAGTTAATGGGATTATCATAAATTCTACAACATTTTCAAAAAGATTTTTTTCATTTATATATACTTCTTAAGAAAATGTTAGTTCAAGTATTTTATTTTTCTGAGTTTTTTCGGAAAGTAAAATTACATTAAAGTTTGGTCCATCATTATTTCCATCATCACTTTATTCAAAATTATTATCAAGGATTCCATTACCACATTTATTAATACATTAATTATTGATAAATGCATAATTCTCATACAACAGTAAAATTTTATTCCTATTTTGGTTCTGAATCAATAATTTATTTTATCTCAGAGCATTTATGATTTTAAGTATCTAAAATAAAATATTCATCTTCACATTATACACAATGATTATCCTTTTCACATTTTATACATCTAAAAGAGCATTAGGATTGACTTTCAAAGCATCCATCAAAAGCATCCATCAAAAGCAATATCATTACCATCATCACAATATTGTCTCCACAAATTGGTTAACATTTCCCATCCTTAAACTTAAAAGTTTATAAATAATATTCACAAATTTAAAATTTGTCACAAACCAAACAATTATCATCGCATTAATATTTACAATCAGCACAATTAGAATCTCCAGGATCATCACATTATTCATTCGATAAAATTGCCAGTAATCCATCTCAACAAATCTATTTACATTCATAATCCTAAAGCTACCAACCTTCCTAACACATTAAACAGTTATTATGCGAGCAAAATAAACATTCTATTTAACTGCTTTACTAACATTTATAGTAACCATCAAATTGAATTCTATTCTCATCATCACATATTTCTTCTGATCATAAAATCCCATCCTAACATTTAGGAATGCAAAATTTTTAAAAAATCTAATACATACCCCTCTTGGCATTCCTAAAAATTATTCCACTTTGCAATTATTAACAACAAACTTTAATTGAAAATCTAAATATCCAATAACTTTTTAGGATTCAAATCAAAATTACAAAAGGAAAAAATATTATTATCATCATGAATACTTTAGAATTGGTTCTCAAAGGGTACTATATATTAATATCCTTATTCTATATACAAATTCAAGCAACTTCTGTCAATATTATTCTGAATATGTTGACATTAAACATCTAAGAGTAGATATAAGGTATACAATTCAAACATTTTCCAAATTAACATTCTCAACAGATTTAAGGGCAAGAATATTTACATTAATGACATCCATCATTAGCTAATTAATTACCATCATCACATTCTTCATCGTAAATGATGATCTTATCTCCGCATTCAGGAATACAAGATTTTATTTGTTCTTAATATTACCAACCAATTAAACAATCTTAGCAGATCCCTTTAATACAATTTCCACAACCTTATATGCAATCATAATTATTCGAAAAGCATCCTTCAAAAGGAATCAAATTTTTATCCAGACATCCATCTTTACTAAGTAATAATTAAAAATCTCTCATTCCAATATAAGGTCCATCAATGCCCTTTTAATTTAGGTTGACTTTTATGTAAATTCTTAACATTTAAATCTAATGTTAATGTTAAAATAATTTAATTTCTTACATAGAAATATAATTACAAAT